TTCTCTAGAGCAGTTTAGTCATGAAGATGAGGAGCAGCTGAGGTCACTTGGTGTGTTCAGCCTGGAGAAGAGGAGACTGAGGACAGACCTCATCACTGCATAAAAATTCCTCCCGAGGGGCAGTGCAGGGACAGCACTGACCTCTGCTCTCTGGGACAGTGACAGGACCCAAGGGAATGGCCTGAAGCTGTGTCAGGGGAGGTTTAGGTTGGATATTAGGAAAAGGTTTTTCCCCCAGAGGTGTTTGGGCACTGGAACAGGTTTAGGTTGGATATTAGGAAAAGGTTTTTTGCCCCAAAGGTGTTTGGGCACTGGAATAGCTTCCTCAGAGCAGTCGTCACAGTCCCAAGCCTGGCAGAGCTCAGGGAGTGTTTGGACAATGCTCTCAGGCACATGGTGTGATTTTTGGGGATGTCCTGTGCAGAGCCAGGAGTTGGACTCAATGATCCTTGTGATTCCCTGCCAACTCTGGCTATTCTGTGATGTACACACACATTCTCACAGGAGGAGCTATGTCTGAGAGAGATCCATTGTGTCACCAAGGGGTGACTGACAGGCACTGGGCATGAAGTATAATAAGTACAGCTTCATTCAGTATAGCTGTAGTGAAGGATGGATGGAAAATCTGACAGCAAAAGTGAGGGCTGGCTGCCAAGGAGGTAGACAGCAGTGCAAGAAATGAAACACTAAGGTCTGAACTTGCAGGAGGGGAGGTACAGGCAAAACAAGAGATGAGGCTGGATTGTGCTGTTCCCTAGCCCTCTGCACTCTTTCAGTGCTATCATCTGATGTGCAGTCTATGACTCTCTTTAATGGCAGCTCCGAGTTTACAGACCCGACGGTACTCTTCAATGGCAAGGATTCACTCCATGACAATAGAAGCTCCTATCACAAAGGTGAGTCCTGAGCACTGACTTTTCTACAAACTCAGGGTTTGGAGTTGCTCTCACAGCTGGGGATAGACAATCAGAGGTTTCCTGCACTTTCTTTTTAACAGAATAACATAAATAACCTTTTTTTCCTTAACACTTTTACACGTCATCATCACATTCCAAATATGAGTCACAGGATTAAAAAGGGGAAAAGGGTGCCCTGGCTAGATGCACTGCTGGCAGGAAGGGGATGCTGCTCTCTTGGCCTGTGTTTGTGTAGGAGGATGTGCTTCAGTCTCACCTTTGCTCTCGATAAGATAGGGTGCAGAGGAGGGAGCACCCACACCACATCCTATCTCCCCCACTTTCCTGCAATCTTTTCTTCACCGTCTGTGTTATACAAACCCTGCTGTCACAAACCAGCTGCATGGTCACTTGTACCACTCTCAAACTGTTTTGGCCTCTCTCCCCATCTTTACTCTCTGTCATCAAGCTCTTACTTCCCAGCACGACCATGACTGGAAGAGCAGCTGACTCCTTTTATTTCTTTCCCAGTCATACCTGCTGGGAGGTCTGTAGTGCCTCTGCAGCAGCTTCTGGTTGCTGAAGAAGACCCCACTAGGGCTTTCTCCCTCTCAGTCCTGGCAGAGCCATGAGCAGTCTTTGCTGCTGCCGTGTCATTGCTCTGTTCCCAGATTGTGGCTGAGGCACAAAGCAGGTTTCAAACAGCATCCTCTTCTCCCACGGCCCAGCTCTTTCTGCTCTCTGCCTGTCATTTTTACATTGAGAAAACTAAGGCTTTACATACAGAATATCTGAGTCACACCCAGGAGTTTGTTTGTTTGTGTTTTCCTCTAGGGATTGAATGATTGCTTCAAAGCAAACCTGGATGTGCTGAAGAACTTGGACATTGTTAGTTTTTTGGTCCACCCACCTGCAGCTATTTCAGATACTTCACACCCTTGTGCTTTCACTTCCTGGGAGTTTGCCAGATAAAAATAGCAGATGGATACCAGGAAATCTGAGCACAAATTTGCATTTTTCAGAGTTGTACTGCAAGAGTTGGGAGAAATCTCATAGCAGTTGCTAAATGTGCATTAGTGTAATCGAGCCAGGAATAAAGATTCTGTAATAAGAGAAAAAAGTGCCATTCACTTTTCTTTGCCTGCCTCCTTAATCTGCTTTCAGGTTATTAACATAATTAATGCTGCCCAGGAAAACAGCCCCATCACAGTAGCAGAGGCCTTGGACAGAGTTCTGGAAATCCTGAGGACAACAGAGCTTTACTCCCCTCAGCTAGGTACCAAAGATGAAGATCCTCACACAAGTGATCTTGTTGGAGGTCTGATGACTGTGAGTAAAATCAGTAAAGATTAAATTAGTGCTTGCAGTGTCCTGCATCACAGTTCAGTGCTCTGCTGTGCTAAAATTTCCCTGCAAGGGAAGGGGATTTGTGGTTCATCACCATTTCACTGGAGTATTCTGGCCAACAGTAGGCCCTAAGGTGCAGTAAACTGTGGCCACATCTCAGTCCATTAGGCTCATTCATCCTCACCTGTAAGTGAACAGAGTTGCTACTAAAAACTATATCACTCAATCTGTTTTGTCTCAGAAGATACTGAAGGAAATACTTCTTAGAAACTCTAGAAGCTTATGTGGGATTAGAGGGATTGCTCACCAGATGGTCCTGTGTATGAGTGAGGTTACTTTAATCAGGTTCTGACTTTGGTCCTGTAACAGCAGTAAGAGACAGACTGTCTCGATTTCATCATGGATTTCATTTTTTAATGTACACTGATCTAATCCCTATCAAATAACATAGAGAAAATGATAAATTAATGATAGTGGCTAATTTCAATGGTGAAATCCTGCAGGTGCTAAATAAAGGGTTGAGGAGGATAATATATTGTATAGTTAGTAATATCTTTTGTGGAGATCTCATACCAGTGCTCCTTGGATCCTTTCCTGTCTGTTTTGAAAGGCCTTAACACAAGAATGGTGCTTGTAGTGCTTCAGTAAAAGCAGTGCTTTTAGCACCTAGGAATAGTAGCTAGAGAGAAAGTGCATGTAGTATTTTTGCAGCTGGTGATTCATGGTCACTTACCATACACTTGCTTTTCTTTCAGGATGGCTTGAGAAGACTGTCAGGAAATGAGTATGTGTTTTCTAAGAGTAAGCCACTCTTTTAAACTCGCCTTTGCATGTGTGACTTCTCTTGTTGATGCTGCTGACAGAGAGCTTGAGGCTAATTTGCAGGGGGAAGTGTGTCTTTGGAAATGGTTGTCTAAATGATTGCAGAACAAGTGTTAGACTGCCTCCATTTAGGAGTGGAAGCAGGTTGAAATAGTTAAAATAATGCATTTCAAAATGTTAGCAAAATACTAAGTTGTCACTCAAAGAAACTTTCACTTATCTTTTTTGTTGTTGTGCAAGTAATGTGGAACAAACTCTTTAGATTATAGGCATTTACAGACTTTTTCATGTAAGGAAAAAGTTGTTTTCCTTGAAAGAGTCATTTTCTAAATGGAATTCTGCAGTGGGGCTGGGGCAGTGTGGGGGAGATAACCCAGAAATTATGTAATTCCCAAATTCCATTTCTACAGATATGAACCTGAGCCATAGTCACCTTCCAGTGCCAAACACCATCAATGATGTTCCACCCTGTATTGCACAGCTCCTAGATAACGAGGAAAGCTGGGACTTCAACATTTTTGAGTTGGAGGCTGTTACAAATAAAAGGTACTGGACTCCCTTCCCTGTGTGCCCACAGAAAGGTTGTTGAGGAGCTGTAGCAGAAATCACTTTGCTCTGGAAAAACTGAAGCAAGACAGAGTAAATCTATGAGAGCTGTTTTGCTTGACTCACATCTGCTCTGTCCAGGTGACACTGGTGGGCACAGTCTGGTGTTGCTACCTGCTGGATGTCCTGCAGATGCCCCTTTTTCCTGCTCATGAGCAAATGGTCATGCTGGAAAAACAACCTCTTCCCTCCATCACCCTAAATCACACTATGATTTGGGAAGATCTGAGGCAACTGTGGCTTTTGATTATAGGGATAAAAAATGGGATGGAGGATAAACCCAGTGATAGGATGAAGAGCGTAAGATGTTAAGGCTTATAGTTTTGAGGTGATGCAGACCGCCAAAATAAGTGTGTCATCATCAGAGAAAAGTGATTTTCATTCCAAGATAAAAAGAATCAAATAGACTACTTGATGTTTTATATGGTTTGCAGGAAATGGCCATTTCCAGAACTGGCAT